TTAGCTAAAACAAGTAACAAGCTATCAAGTATAACAAAGTAAGTAACAAGACTAACGATTACATGATACATGGATAGATAACGTGAATGATCAAATTCATAATACAGCTCATCACGACGTCTTCTGGAAACTAGTTTTTTATTAGCACCTACCACTAGGCACAATTTTGCTTAACCTTAAGGATCTCATCCATGACGCTGACTGCAATGTTATACAGGAATGCGGACCAAACACGAGCATTAAATACGCATTAGTTACGATCCAGGGAACAAATAGAAGTTCAAATGAGGCATAAATCGCTATTACACGGAGACATTCAATTCTATGTTTATCTATCTTTCTCAAGGAAATTGTGTCGAGAAGGCCGTTTTAGTATTTTTCTTTATTCTTAACTTGATAAGCTTATGTAGTCTTATATCAAAAGTTATTTTTACACATATAGTTTCCTAATACCGTTTTCCACCAACTACTCTTGAATTTTAAGGAACCCCGCTAAGATGATGACATTCAACGACATTTCGATTTTTATAACACCTATAAGGAACACCTAACATTATAAGGGTTAATTTGGGTGCTCCCTCACGCTAAGTACGTAAATCTTAGTTAAGAGATGGTTTAGAGGTGGTTTGTAAAAATGGGCGCAAGTCTCGCTTACGTTTATATCACACCCATATTTAATACTATTGGCCATACGAATGTTCAATCCTGTTAAAAGGTAATGTTTACACAATATATAGATGCAGACTGATTGCCTTGCTGCAACCGGTAGCCAAATAAATTAGCAATATCTTTATATATACCTCTACATATAATTCTTCTGTGAGTGTGTATGTCACTGAACTTCTCTCAAACGACTGGACCGATTTTGATGAAATTTTTTGTGTGTGTTCAAGGGGATCTGGGAATGGTTTAGATTCACAAATCAGCCCGGCAGATGGCGCTGCAGTCGATGTTATTCATCCTAAACAGCTGAACTAATTTGAATGAATTTTGTCTATACATTCAAGTTGATTAATAAGTATTGATTTTGACTAGTAGCCAACAAGCCAAGTCTATTCAAGTTAGTAATAAACAGGGATTCAAAAATATTTCTATTTTAACGACGCAGCGTGCATCCGCCTTGCATCACATGCCATCTTGATCTCATTACCTAGAAAGTTTACATAACATCATCCTGAATTCATCACAACAAGTGTGACGTCAAACGTCAAGTTATCGAGAAGCGATGAAACAATTTAATTTAGACGCCATTATTTTATATTACGCAAATATTTCGCAGATATTTTCATGTGCAAAGTCGTAAATAAAATACCTAGGCATGGTAGATGAAGCAAAATATTTACATTATGCAGTATTCTGGATTGAAACTGACGTAAGAACTAGAATTGAGTTTATATAGTTAGTACAAGTTTATAGCGAATATTGGTGCTAACAAAGCTCACAATCAAACAAACCAATAACTACTTTATCTGTATACAGACGACCGAAGTGACAGCTAACTTTCAGCCATGTTTAAAAAGCTGCCATATAGTGTGAAGAAAAAAAGAAAAAGAAATGCTACGTCGACAACTCGACACCTATCCATTAATTCAGTAAACATTTTCACACATCAGCTATAGATCAACAACGAGAAACCATTTATTATACTTTCTCGATTTTTTTTAACTGCACACACATCAAATCTCGATGACTCGATGATAGTAAGTTCGATGCAATAACAATAAATTCACTACGTACTAAAAACCTTTTACGTGGTACCTTTCAACGGAAGAGGTTATAATGACAAGCATCGCCTACTGAAGATGACAGTTGCATGGCCAGTTGTAGTCGAACACAGGCTCACCCACACACGTATGCGTTGTTCAACATTGTCGATGCATGAAGATGCAATTCGAGTAAAAGTATGCAGACACGACATTTCATTATTACAGTCACCTTTTACTGGTTAATTTTATACAAAGTTACCATTCATGAAAATGTTTAATGATCACAAGTCGAATACATGATAAATTAATTCAGAATAACAACCTACTTAACAAAAAACCTTCATCATTCATCGTTGTTTTTGAGTAATGGGCCCTGTCTTACAGAAATGAGGCTGAATTCCGAGTAAACAATGACAGAATTCATCAGCTGTTCGCCATCTTGGAATTATAAATGTCAACTGCTAGTTTATTTGCACGAAGGTGACAGGTGACAGGTTAATGAACTGTCATTCTTAACACCTGGCTTTTAAGTGATGTCAAAGATCTCATCTTAAAGAAAACTGAGGAATTCCCATAGCATGAGCTGTTGTAATTAAGTGTCTACGTTTAATTTTAGATTAACGACCCAACTTACAGTAATTGACGTGTGCTTATCTCCTAAATAGCTAACAGCAAGCACGCTAGCAGTTAATTAGGAGTTGTTGCTACTGCACTACGCAGATGCGTATTATGTGTATAACTGCATAAGTATCATATTTTTAAGCACATTAGTGTGGTGTGTGTTATTTAGCATTACAACGTTTATATGGAATACGAGTCACAATGTGACAGCCATTTCATATTTACTGGTTCAAAATAAAATATCTACTATAAAATGGATCAAACTTGATTAATAAGAAATTGGTGATCAAGACGTAATCAGCACCATACAGGTCTTAATTTTTACAAAAAGAAGAGATAAAAGTAGCACATCTACCATAGCATTGTCTGTGGCATCTTAAGCTCTGGTTACATCATAATCAGACACCTACGTTTCGGAAGCGGACGATCCATATTCATCGTTTGGTTTGGATAACCGGTAGGCAATGTAATTGCTCTTTGTATGCTCGACTGACTTGTATGAAGTTGTATGAATGTGTAGAGTTTAGTTCTAATTCTATCCATGGTTATTCTGCTTGCAAATTTTAGTGTTGTTCATAAAATGTAATGCCTTAATTTCTTGCAATTTTGCATTCTTATCACAAAAGTTACGCTAGTATCCATGTTGTCTGGATTCTTCAGTGGTGAAACGCTTGGTGTACTGAACTGCTGTTATTTTTGAACCAAATCAATCATGATTGATGAGGATCACCTCATCTGCCGAATTTTTCACGTCCAATACTGAACAAAGGCCTCCCTCTTACCAAACTATATAGCAGTGTACCTATATAGCAGTTATTTGAGTACCTTAGATGGCCTCAATATACCTTAATAACAGCCTTGTGTACATTACTGCCTAAAATAAAAATTCATGGTGCGTTATGAATTTAAATGTTGTTAAATAAAAAAAACAATCCTATCTAAGTAGTACCTACTCTAGTGGAACGACAGCTGCCGAGAATAATTCCAATGGTTTTGTCTATGCCATTGTTTTAAAAACGCCTTTTTATAGACTGTGGATTAACGTCTTTTGAGGCAGGCCTAATTTTACAAGTATTTATATACATTTTGAGTAGGATAGTGTTACCAAATTATGGGTGCACTTTATAGAAGTTTTATAAAACTATGAAACAAGAGTACCTATGTAAAGGAGTGCTAAAGCAATAAAATATGCACAACTTGGAGCGAGCCTTTTATTATGTGAAAAGGCAATTCGATGTGTATGTGATACACTTTTCATCACTTACGAATGTTTGCGACCCCTTGAGATACATACCAAGAATTTAACCAGTCTGCCACTGAACCGCTGTTTATAGTATTTTTGTTGTAAGCTCTACAGCAAAAAATGCAATAAAAGTAAGCCACTAGAAGAGAATTAAACCCACTAGTTATTCTACACTTAATCCATCTTTACGCGAAGCGGTTGGAATTTAATCTTTATTTGGAACGAGGGTCGGTGAACCGTCTCAAATAGTCTTACAAGGCCATCGGTATTGTCCTCCTAGCAACCGATTGCTCGCTTCCATTAATTCTTTAACTCATGGACACACTATGTATTAATAATCTGTGCATGTTTGACGTTTGAAAATTTTGGCGGGCTTTTAATCGCCGCCATGTTTTGCATAGATAAAAAAATTAAAGAATTGGTAATTATTATTACCATGGTACATTTGCTTTTCTATTTTTATCAAAATGTGAAACAAATGTGGAGCCTTCTAATAAAAAATGCGGAAGCAAAAGTAACTAGGTCTTCTACTATTTTCTCGATAAATCATTACTATTTCAATTTAATGGATTGTAGCATTTTATAGTCGTCGCTAGCTTGACGAATGGTGCTAAGTTAAATAAAAACAATTTTAAAACACTCGTTGACATTTTCAAGATTTTCTCCGAAGTTCTTATTTTTGTCCCCATTAAACTAGTAACGGGCAGTTTTAGCACACATAAACAAACTTTAAAAGCTTTCCTATGTCGTTAGCCAATAAGAGTTCTCTATTGATGCTTTGAACTTAAAATTGAGTTAAAATGTGGGTAAAGTGACACAAATAATCACTCCTTAAATCAATTTTATTATTTACCGCCATTGGCCATTGGTGACTTAGAACGCTTTAAGGCATTAAGCAGCATCAATAAAAATAACTTCTAAAATGAAAGCAATAGTTAGTATTGATTCCATAAAAGTCAGACAAAATAAAAAATAAAAGGAGAACTAAATCCATTCTAATTCCATTCGAATATAAAAGTTTGTAAAAAGAATTCGAAATCCTGGCCACATAGCCGTCTACCACAGATTAAACAAACAATCTTGCCATTAAAATATATTCCCACTGCAGCCAGTCATTTAACAGTGTAATCGCGATAATAATACGAAAGTGTATCTGAGGTAACGTTGAGTCGAGCTGAACCGAGCGTAAAATGAGGCCCAATCGGACCCCGACCGAGAGCCCACTGAACCATGGCCTCTTGGCCTAAGATGACTTCATTGTTCCATTATAGGGTTGACACTTGGTGGAAAATGTGGGAAATTGGAACGTAAAATCTACCCAAATATAATTAGACGATATGAGTTCAATTGCCGATGACGTTCGTGCTGGATATAGGTATGGAAGAAACAAAAGAAATACGTGAGATATTTGTTACTACTTACATACGTACCTGAGCCAAACAGTCGGTATTACATTTTACAGGACTGGTTGTAGGTAACTGAAAAAGAAAACCAAGTATTAGACAGATAAACAATTTCACACATAACCACAACATATGACCAAATTACACGCTTAACTAGAGTGATTAAAATATCTCTTAATTAACATCAAAGAGATGAAACAGACTTTTCCAAATGTTACGTAATTTTTCACGAAAAGATGGCAGTATGCGAGCCGCATATAAACTGCATAAAACATGCCATAAGGTATTAAATTTACCACCGTTTTCATTCTAATATAAGAGATGACCGAAGCTCTGGCGGTTTGCCAGATGCTAGAGTATTTCAGGACATCCCTTTTAAGTGTTTTATTAATTTTGCCTTAAGGTTATTCTAAGCTAAGACGTACTACGAGAACACCAGCACTAAACACAGTGACACTAATCAAAACTAACGACTTGTTTAACATACATTACTGTACGACAAAGAGAGAAGATGTTTATAATTAATTCAGAGCCAGCGATGTATTGAGGATAACTTCTATGCTCGTTAGTAAAAGGTCCCTACTTTCTAGTTAGTTAAGGTGACGCGTTATTAGCTGTGTCGTCAGTCATCGAATATAACTCGTCGTAAATAAACTTTAAATGGAATTTCTCTACGACTATCAATAACTTATGTTTGAAATTATAATAACGAGTGAACGCTTCACTTCACAGAACAACAATTTGCTTGTTAATAGACTAGTAAATTTGTGATTACTGATCATCGACCCTTTTTATAGCACAAAAGACAAACGTTCCTATTGAGGTGTCATGCATAAATACGACACAGGTTTCATAGAAAAAATATGATAACAGTACTGGTATGAAATAGAAACTGAATATATTAAGCATTTCTATCTACTAGTAATCCTATGTAAGCTAGCTCGTTAGTACTAGACATTAGGGTCTTAATCATGATACACAACAATACCTACATTCTAGAACGTTCCAAATCCTATTTCATTGAAGGAAACAACCAGAAAAGTAAAAGTCAATTCAAATCCCACGCAAACTCGAGTACAACGCCTAGTTAACCAGTTAACACCAGCAAAGATCGTGATATGTCCGCCGATAGTCCTGGGAACTGCTCTAATTACGACTCAATGAATAGATCGATTGGGTTGGGCGCCAATAATGGCGGAGCAATCATTTTAAACAATAGCTAATAAGACTAATCTAAATTTTATTTTATCAAATTATAATTTAAATTAATCAACCATGTCGTTCTCTATTTCATTTGGAATACATTTAATTTATCAAAAGTCATAAAAAATAACTTAGGTCGTGATAGGGAATTAAAAAGAACTAGAAGTTACTAATGTGAAAATACTGAGAAAAGCTCTACTAGTTTCGAACCACAGAGGGGTTCTTCCTCATGAGCAGCGTACGCGGTCGCGGCAATGTCGCGCAGCATGTCAGTAGGCTGTGCGACATCGCCGCGGCCATTAATTTAGCATGTCTCACGATAGCAATTATAAAAACTAGAACTAAACAGTTCCCACCCACCCCTATTACACTCTATTACATGGGTCTCATAACGTAAATAGTGAAAAGTGGGTGTTACATTGTACAGTGGTATAATGTGCACCTCTGCCTACCCCTCCGGGGATAAAAGGCGTGATGTTATGTTATGTTAAACAGTTCCTACTTCGATACAAAGTAAGAGATATAATTTTAGAACCACTGCAAAATCCTCATTCTTCCGATTGCTCATTTCACAGCCACAAAGTTGTTTTGGTTGCATAATCTGTGGCATTTAGCGCCACATTTAACTAACCATCGGTTCTAAGTTACATCTCACTTTCTTCGTTTAACAACAATAAGTATTGATGTGATGGAGAACTTCATCAATTTCATGTCCATTCATAAACGTTAATGTGCTTTTTGAAGGGTTCTATTGAAGGTTATGGAAGAAAGCAAGTGAAAATGCCCATAAAAATATGGAAAGGGCGTTAACTAATTGGTTGGTTTTTAATAGCTCAAATGGAATTAAAACTATTTTATTATGTTAGAAAACATGGAATTGTGATTGACTACTAACAACTTACTGGCTTAATCGTTCATTCTAAGCCCAACATTCGCAGACTGAACCATTTTGATCTAAAAATACGACAAACTCTTGTGGTATCATTCTTTCTTTGGCTTGCTGCAAATAAGCACTGAAACACGCCTTAAGTCACTCTAATTGCGCGAATACTGTCAACACCAACATTCCTCCACACCCAAGTTTATAAAAGCTCTGAGTATACAAGTTAACTTGGACAATTTATCTACGATAATTGTCGCAGTGAGCCGCAATCGGCCCACCATAGAACGTCGCAGCTGCACTAATTAATAAAGCAAGTAAGTTAATAACCTGCATAGTACAAATTAATTCGATCGTGGTAAGAAATTGTGGAATTTAGATTTTGTTTAATCGCCATCATTGATCGGTTAATGGAATTTGTAAGAGCGTTTGCACAGACTTGACAACTTTTAGACATGAAGCTCCAGAATTTTGATTGACTACGGGCTTGCAGGTATAAAGCTTTTCCTTACAATACGGTAAAACTTGAATTTGTGACCATTTTTCGAAAATAACCTCGATCGATTTTGTGCTAAACAAATCTGTGACATGCGATGAGAAAGAGCCTATTATGAGCAATATGTAGGCGTTTTAGTGACAAACCAAGTTGTTTTTAGGAGTTCCTAGACACGGATTTTTTTTTTAAGGGGGGAAAATCATCGATTGACTGCTCCCGCCTGGGTGAGGAGGCGGAAGGGAGTGTCAGACTCTTACTGACTAAAAACCACCCCGTTCCTTCTCCTGCACGTCGAGCCGGAGCCCCGGTTACCCGTTAGGTTCTCCGCGACTCCTAGACACGGATTGCGCCGGTAAAAGGACAGAGCTAGTTTAATTGACCTGACCTATGAAGCCTTTTATAACTAGAACTAATTAAGCTTCACTAACCACATTGCTAAAACAAATTAATTCAAGTAATTATAAAGTATTGTTTGCTAACCCGCCACATTATTCACGAGGCGCTGTCAAGTTATCTGAAGTTGAAACAACAATAGTATCAAAGTAAACCATCGATTGAACATTACTTATCGCAGAATTCCTTACCAAGATGGATGCCGATCAGAGGTAACGGAAAATGAAAACGGTATGAAGAGAGATGAATCAACATTTTACAAAAACATAGTTGGAAATATAGATAAGAGCTTAAGATCTGTTTACTTTTATTGTGTGTCAAGAAGATTGGTTATACATAATGTAATTGTTTGTACATGTGCACTGAGCAAAGCTTCTGTCTCTTGACCGTTTCTCAGAAAAGATGACGTCAAAGTAATTTAATAATTCTTAATATTTATATTCTTCTTAATATATATTTAATAACTTAATAATTCGAGCAAGGGGTCTCGGGTTCGATTCCCGGGTCGGGCAAAGTATTACTGGGTTTTTAAAAAATTCTCAGTAGTAGCACGGAGTCTGGAACTGTGCCCGGTATATGGCAATAGGCTTACCCCCTATTACATGGGACTCATAACATAAATAGTGAAAAGTGGGTGTTACATTGTACAGTGGTATAATGTGCACCTCTGCCTACCCCTTTGAGGATAAAAGGCGTGATGTTATGTTATGTAATAATTCCTCTTGTTTTGCCCTTTCTACAGTGTCGATCCATCCTATTAGCGTCAATGTGTAGTTTTCCTGTTCTTCATCCTTTGTTAACCTTTTAAACCCTGACCTTACTAAACTAAAACTGTCCTATACAAATTATTTTTAAGCCCAAGTTGCTCCAGTCTACTAACGTACTGACACAAAAACACCACTGGCATTTTTTGTCCTTACCTCTGGACACGACTCTGGCGTTGCATCACGTACTTACAACAAACAAAGAAATTAATATTTGGGTTACTATTGTAGTCTACCCAACCTAGCGTCCTTGACAGACAGACAACTGTTTCTACACAACCTGTAGCTCTAATATGTAGGGCACATGTTTTGCATGGCCCTACATATGGGTGCACACACACACACACACATTATACTAGTCGTTGTTAGATGTAGACAAGTGTCCTCGTACAGGGCTACGTGCGGAATGGCATGACCTAAAAAACAAAAAAAAACGTGTAGATTAGTTGATAATAACAGCTAACTTATAATTTTGTTTTCTGTTTCTATTTTTTGAAAATCATCGAATATTTTGATGAGTACCCATTTCTAAGTGAGTGCCAGACTGCCAGTGGGCAGCAATAAAGATTGCATGATACGGGATTAGCTGGTAGGTAAGTCCTTTTTCATAACGAACATTGTTTTCGGTTCTATAACTGGAACATTTAAATATTGAGATTAGGTATTACCATGCATTAATAAACTCTGTGCTTTCGATTGACTAATAAAATAAATAAGATCCTATTAAGAAAAATCATAATAAATAATAGCACCAATTATACAGTACCTAAACGGATGTTTTTAGCATTTATCAATGTCTGTTTGATCCGAGTTACATGAAACATCCTGTGGACATTATTGGGCCAAACTGGTACTGTCAGCTTTCCATTTAATCGTTCACCTGTCTCTAACCGTCAGAAGTTCCATGTTTAATAAGGAAAACACTTCAATCTCCACAGGTCTCGGTACAAAATTAATTTAGCTCTTTTAATTGGTATTCTGGCTTGGAATAAATTTATCTTTATTCGTATTAATTGGAGTAGGTTCGAGAAAATTACTCCATTTATTAGTTCAGTGATTGGTTTAGGCTAAAATTAGTTTACGTAGTTCGGTAGGGCTCATAATTTAATTGTAGGATGTCTAGAACCAAGTATCTAAATACTTATATTGTTTCAAAGGCTGGTATAAATTCATGTTGTATCTAGACAAGAGAATTGTGTTATTTTAGAATTTTCCCACGTACTAAGTAACTATACCTAGTGACACTAATAATAATTTCCAAATCGTATTTCAGAACAGTAACCTGTATCCAACAACTAAGCTACATTTCACTCTGAAAACCCATTAACTTTATCAATAC